AGGAGACAGAGAGAGAGAGACAGCGTGAGCAGGGGAGGGTCAGAGAGAGAGGGAGTCACAGACTGAAACAGGCTCCAGGCTCTGAGCTGGCAGTCAGCACAGAGCCCGACACAGAGCTCGAACCCACGAACCGTAAGATCATGACCTAAGCGAAAGTCGGACGCTTAACCAACTAAGCCACCCAGGCGCCCCAACAGTTTTTTTAATTATTAGTAATACTGAGCGCCTTTAATGTACATATTGGTCATTTGTATTTCTTCTGTGATTGGCTTATTTGTGTTATTTGCCCATTTTCTACTAACTTTTTAGAGTTAGTCATTTATAAGCATTTTTTTAATGTTGGGGAAGTTAGTCTGTTATATGTGCTGTAGATATTTTTCCCCCAGTTTGTATCTTTTTTTAGGTGTGTGTTTATTTTAATATAAATATTAAAATAGTAGTTTTATATTTTAATAAAATATTAAACTATTTTTAATAGTTTTATTTTTCGATAGTAGTTTTATATTTTAATATAATTGTATTTACCAGTCTGACTTTTTTGGCTCCCTGTTTTTTATTATGCTTTAGAAGTCCTTTTCCACTAAAAGATTACAAAAACATTCATTCATGCTTTCTGCTAGTACAAATTCTGCTTCATTGTTTTACATTAAAATTTTTTTAATGTTTATTCATTTTTGAGGGACAGAGCACAAGCAGGGGAGGGGCAGAGAGAGAGGGAGATACAGAATCTGAAGCAGGCTCCAGACTCAGAGCTGTCAACACAGAGCTTGAACCTATGAACCATGAGATCATGACCAGAGCCAAAGTCAGATGCTCAACCAACTGAATCACCCAGGCAGTGTTTTTTTACATTTAAATTATTTGACCTATCTTGGGGCACCTGGGGGGCTCAGTTGGTTGAGCAGCTGGCTTCGGCTCACGTCATGATCTCGCAATTTGTGAGTTTGAGCCCAGCGTCAGCCTCTGCACTGATAGCTCAGAGTCTGGAACCTGCTTCAAATTCATTGTTGCCCTCTCTCTCTGTCCCTGCCCTGCTTATACTCTGTCTCTCTCTCTCAAAAATAAATAAATATTAAACAAATCTTTTTAATAAGTTATTTAACCTATCTTGAATTAATTTTGGTATAAAGAGTGCATCTATATCCGGCACATTTTTTTTTTAATCTTAGAGAGACACAGAGAGTGGGGGAGGGGGCAGAGGGAGAGAGAGAATCCCAAGCAGGCTCTGTGCGAGCTCAGTGTGGAGCCTGACACGGGGCTCGATCCCATGACTGTAAGATCATGACCTGAGCTGAAGTCAAGCATTGGACGCCCAATTGACTGAGCCACATAGGCGCCCCAATATGGCACCCCCTTTTTTTTTTTAATTGAGTAATCTATCTTTTTCCCCATGTCTTTGAAATGTCCTCATATCCTAAATTCCCTTATATACTTAAGTCTATTTCTGGGCACTCTGTTCTTTAGTATTGAACTTCTTATTCTATTCACTGTGCCAGTATTACAGTGTTTAAATACCACTTCTTCATACTGTGTTCTCTCTGGTAGAATAGGGAAAGGAAGCATAAGAGAAAGAGAATCCTTATTCATCACTCATATTTTTCAGCGGTTTGCATTTTCTTGGCTGTTTTGTTAATCTTTCAGATGATCTTTGGTGTTACTGTTAGATGCATATATACATTGTAAAAATTCACTCTCTACTACAGTATGGAGAAAAGGGCCAGCAAGGGGCTGACCTTAAGATCAGTCCGTGGGAGGGACATCTGGCTGGCTCACTTAGGAGAGCATGTGACTCTTGGTCTCAGGGTTGTGAGTTTGAGCCCCACATTGGGTGTAGAGCTTACATAAAAAGAAAAAGAGAAAGAATGGTCCATGGGAGCTCTGACCAAGCACCTGCCCTTTCACTGGCTAGAGCTAGGAGGGTCTGCAGAATTAGAGCAGAGGATCTCTGGGAATTTGTGGGGCTGGGAGCTGAGAAGAGGGCCCTCTGAGACCCAGGGCTCAGTACTAACCTATCTTCTTCCCCATCCTTAGGATATGAAGGACAGAATTTGGGGAAGATCCTCAAGGATCTAGAGATGAGTAAGGTGGTGCATATGGATCGATGGTCTGTGGAGGTGATACCTCAACAAACTGAAGAAAAGAGTGACCCAGTCCCCTTCCAAATCATCAATAACTACTTCTCCATTGGTGTGGTCAGTGGAGTGGGGTATGGGGGCTAGGGTGGAAGTAGGGATTAAGAAGGGAAAAGCTAGAGCTAGTTAGAAAGAGAAGGTAGACGTTAAGGGGGCTGTGACACAGGGAAATGAGGGATGGGGTACAATGGTGTGAATTTTAAGAGAAGAACATGGGACATACTGCTGCCAAATGGGGGAACTAAAGAGAGAGTATTCTGTTTTGAGAGAGGAGACAGGCCTCTGATCTTACATGCCCTGAATTCCCCCAGGATGCCTCTATTGCTCATCGATTCCACATCATGCGAGAGAAATATCCTGAGAAGTTCAACAGCAGGTAAGGGAAAGGGGGGTGGGTGTGGACATACACAGTGGCACTAACCAGGTTATGGCCAAGTTGTTGTTGTTTTTTTCATTTCTTTTAATGTTTATTTATTTTTAAAGGAGAGAGAGACAGAGCATGAGCTGGGGAGGGGGAGCAAAGAGAGAGGGAGACACAGAACCTGAAGCAGACTCCAGGCTCTAAGCTGTCAGCACAGAGCCTGCAGCAGAGCCCAATGCGAGGGTGCAAGCTGTGAGATCATGACCTAAGCCAAAGTCAAACACTTAATTGACTGAGCCAACCAGGCGCCCCAGGCCTTGGGTTGTTTTTTTTTTTTTTAATTTCTTTTTTAATGCTTATTTATTTTTGAGACAGAAATAAACAGAAAGAGTGCAAGTGGGGGAGGAGCAGAGAGAGAGGGAGACATAAAATCCAAAGCAGGCTCCAGGCTTTGAGCTGTCTGCACAGAGGCCAGCGCAGGGCTCAAAGAGATCATGACTTGAGCCAAAGTCGAGTGCTTAACTGACTGAGCCACTCAGGCGCCCCTAGCCAGGTGTGACTCAGAGCACTTAGATGGGCAGTAGCACCTCTAGGAAGCTGCTCAACCAAGGCCATCCTCTCCCCAGGAGGTTGATGTCTTTCCCTGTCTCTTAGCCCTCCTCTGCTATCACTTGTGTAACTTATCCCTCCCTATTGGTCCTTCTTTTGGGGCTGATACAGAATGAAGAACAAGCTATGGTACTTCGAATTTGCCACTTCTGAATCCATCTTCTCAACATGCAAAAGGCTGGAGGAGTCTTTAACAGTTGAGGTGGGTGTGATGAGACACAATCCTACATGCTTTTCAGCTTCTTATACCTTAGTTCCCCCTCCATAGGAACCTTCACAAACTTCCCCTATTCTTGAACCTGTACTTTGACCTCCCAGCTGTCAAATCCCAATTCCTCAGGTTCTCAATATCCTAGTGCTTATTTCCTGCCATCCTTTGCAAACCTCCAACACCTGGCCTTCCCAGTTTGTCACCTGGTGGAGGGAGGGTCACATCCATGATTATGCCATGAGGTGAGGATTTGTGCTTTCCCCTTCTCAGATCTGTGGGAAACCACTGGATCTGAGCAACCTGTCCCTAGAAGGCATCGCAGTGCTGAACATCCCTAGCATGCATGGTGGTTCTAATCTCTGGGGTGATACCAAGAAACCCCATGGAGATATCCATGGGATCAACCAGGCCTTGGGCGCCGCAGCTAAAGTCATCACTGACCCTGATATCCTGAAAACCTGTGTACCAGGTGAGAGAAGCAGCCTTGGGAACTGAGTGGGCAGGATCCAGGGGAAGGCGTGGCTCCCTTTGGAGGCTCCCTGCTTCTGCAAACCTTATCTCCTTGCTTCCCACTTCCAGACCTAAGCGACAAACGCCTGGAAGTGGTAGGGCTGGAGGGTGCAATTGAGATGGGCCAGATTTATACCAAGCTCAAGAATGCTGGACATCGGCTGGCCAAGTGCTCTGAAATCACCTTCCAGTAAGGAGAACTCTGGCCAGGGGCTCTGAGGGAAGGAGTGGGGCCAGGAGAGAAGGGTCATGGGGATGGTAGGGAGGAGCTGTACTAGGAGATCTTCCTCAGTAACAAAGGGTCTCAAAATCAAGCCAAGAAAGAGTTTTGGTATTTGGTCAGTAAAGAAATCTCCAATCTGCCTTGGCCTCCCACAGCACCACAAAAACCCTCCCCATGCAAATTGATGGAGAACCCTGGATGCAGACACCCTGTACAGTGAGTATTGCCTATGCCTGCTCAGAACTGAACCCTCAGGCTTCATGGACCCTGAATCTCCATTCCATAGCTTCTCTACCCTTCCCAATGCCTGAAGTTCCCCTGTGTACCATTCCTCCCATATCCTGATGTCTTAGCCCCTGGCCTTCTTGCCATGGCCTCTCTAGGATCCTGGCAACCCCTCTGAACACAGATTTTCCCCCAAATATCTACTACTCCAGCCCCAAGGGACCAGGTCCTGTCTCTGAACATGCCTCCTTCCCTTCCAGATCAAGATCACCCACAAGAACCAAATGCCCATGCTTGTGGGCCCACCCCCTCGCTCCTCCAATTTCTTTGGCTTCTTGTGCTGAAGGGGACACCTCAGCCTCCAAGTCAGCCTTGAACCAACCTCCTCATCCCTGGACTCTACTCCTAGGCTCTGTACATTGCTGCTACACCCTCCTGCCAGCTCAGGGGTGTGTTCCTTCACCCTCACAATATTTATTATCCTGCACCACCTCCACTATGCCCCATGAACATGTGTGCGCGCGCACACACAAACACACACACACACACACACACCACCACCACCACCACCACCACCACAAACACATACATTGAAAGTGCCTCATCTAAATAAAATGACTTTTTCCCCCCACTGGGATATCTGCTAAGTAAATGGTACATCTCCTTCCTATATACCTCCACTCCGTAAATGACATAGATTCTCCCAGAAGCAAGAAGATAAAACGGCACCAGGTTCTGAGTATTTATTTCAGATAATGGTACTTTCCAAGGGAGGACTGGAGAAAAGATAGGCATTGCTGTCTACCCTTGGCAAATCACAGTGTCATATAAGACTACTCAGACCTGCTGCTGCCCACTGAGGAGGGGCCTGTTCTCACCAATGGGGCAAGAGCGGAAGACCCTGGGCAGCCGCAGCCAGTGGGTGCTACCACGTGGGAGCTGGGGAAGAGGGAGGGCTGAGCCTTGCTTCAGAAGTCTTCGCCTGATATCGGGAGAAGAAAGGAGACACTGATTAGCAATAGACAAGGGAAACCTATCTGTGCTTCTCCAAAAATGAGGACACACCCATATCCCAAATTCACTGGGCCTTGACCCTAGCTCCCTCCCCTTGTCACCAACAGGGTTCATCTTATCCTGTTTTTATGGTAACCTCTGTCCATTCCCCTCTTACTCTACAAGCCTCCCTGCTTTGAGGACCTTGGCACCCCAGGCCTGGGGATCTGCCCTTCTCACAGGTAGAGGACTCAGTTCACCCAGCTTCCTCCACTCTTGATATTATTAATAACAGTCATCAGGATCATTTACTGCACTCTAGCTTCAGAAGTTGGTGCTTTACCCACATTGTCTCTAATCCTGACAACAGCTCCATAAGGCAGGTATTAGTTTTCCTATTTTTCAGAGGCTCAGAGACATTAAGCTACTTTCCCAAGGTCCCACCAGCAAGACTACAGCCTAGGTCTGTTTAACTTCCAAGTCTGGGCTCTTTCCATGGACACCATGCTTCTTCAAAAGAAGTGGTGGTTCCCTCTCCTCTTGAGGAAGACTGAGTAGTGGTAACAAGGGATAAGGAGGTGTGAGCTAGATGGTGGGGCCCTCACCTATATATCAGAGATACAAGCACCATAGCCATCAACACCAGCAAGATGCCCACGTATAGGGGAGCCTGTCCAAGGCCTGCTTCTTGACCTGTGAACAGAATCCCAGGCACAGCTTCCATCAGGGTCTGCTTCCTACCAGATAGCCTCTTCCCGTTCCCCCTCTTCGTCCTACCCCTTGTCCGAGTACATACCAGGCATTACAAGCTGGGTGCTGACCATTGCCAGGCTGTTAGCATCAGCCAAAGACACATTGAGGCAGTAGGTCCCCGAGCCACCCTTCAGTACTTGGTGCAAAACTAGCTGGCAGGCCGGGCTGGGTGGCACAGGCTGACACAGCCGCTGGGCAGGGGGCTGGCACCCTGGAGATGAGATGTCCATACAGGCTTCCTTGGGCAGTCTGCGAAAGGTGTTAGCTTAGGTCAGGGCAACTGGGAGGGAACGTTAGCCACCAGAGAGCAGTGCAACAGTCAACCCAAGAGTTCTCAGGACAGCCAGTGGGACACTCACCCGCCTTGGCAAGACACAGTCAGCTCAAATGCATCCCCTTCATTGGATGGCACAGCCTGAAGGATCTCAGCACTCTCAATACCCTCTGCAAAGTTGCAAGAGTTTAAGTCTGGGTACAATGTGGGATTCCTCTATCAGGCCTCCCCAAAGGCCCACAGACAGGAAAGCCCTAGGGGTGCTTCCCCAATCCCATCCCCATGCCTTCAAAATAAAAAGCCTGGGATCTGGATATTCTTGTCCAGGTAAGTAACTCCTTCCAAGGTATGTTTCCACTGTCAGTCTTAGGCAGTACACACCTCCCTCAACCAGCCCCCAAAGCAGTCAAGACTCACGGACAATGTCCAGGTCGAGAGAAAAGGAGCCATATCGATACAGCACACAATCCAGAGGGGTTTCTCGCTTCACCAGGATTAAGGTAGCTGCACCATCCGGCAGGGGGCTCTGGGAATCTGGCAGGAGGGGATTGAAGAGGCAAAGTCAAGGGACACATGACTCCCCTGGAAGTAGAGGCCACGCAGGCATTTTTTCCAGGTAGAGCCAGAGCTATTGCACCCAGGTGTGGCATCAGATAAGACCTGGAAAATCTCCTTTTATCGATGAGGAAACTAAAGCCTTGAAGGAGGAATGAGCACTCCAGACTCACACAGTGAGGAGTAGATTTGGAGTTTTAAGAAATCCCAAATGTTTATTATACTCCACACTGTGCTAGGTCCTAAGCTAGACACTCATCAAAAGTTAACTCTTCCACGTGCCAACAGGTCATTCCAACATTTTTAGTGTTCCTACCATAATTTCAGGTTGACCTGCATAGAATTCTATGCTATACTAGCACAGAAAGAGATACAAGTTATTATGTAAAGGACCACAGCCTGTTCCCTGGCAGAAACCTCAGGGAACTGCTCTCCCGAGGTACAGGGAAGCAACAAGCTCTCTCCCAGTGGCCTAGGGGCACACTCTGGTTTCCTGAATTCCAGGTCTATTCCATGTTATTAAGAGGGACTTGAGGGCTTAAAAACACTGAGAGCTCCGATGGGATTCCATTGCTAAGCAAAGGATTGGGTAACATCTGGGGCCTGCGTGTCTTTCAGAGTAGCTTTTTAGAGTAGTGACAAATATCCCACCTCAATGAACCTCATTCACACTGACCCTCTTACCTGTAATACCTTCTGTAGGCACGAATGGGCGGACATCTAGACCCTCAGGCTCAGGGGTGGGTACCTCTCCAGCTGTGGGCTCCACCAACTCTCTAGTTGTTAGTTGTACAACTGTGGAACCAGAGGGCTCTGCGATTGACACTTCAGGTATTGTACGAATGGCCTCTGCAGTTGGCATCTCTGCAGGTGTGGTATCTATGCCCTCTGAGGTTGGCACCTGTTCAGCTGTAGTACCTATGCCCTCTGTAGTTGGCACCTGTACAGGTGTAGTGCCTGTGACCTCCGTGGTTGGCATCTTCACAGCTGTGGTTCCAGAAGGTTCTGCAGTTGGCACCTGACCAGGTGTAGTACCTATGACTTCTGCAGTAGGCACTTGCCCAGCTGTGGTGCCAGGGGCCTCTGCCGTTGGCCCATGCCCATCTGTGGTGACTGGAACTGGGGAGGAGCCACAGGAAGTGAGAGGAATTGCAGCCTGCAGCACCACCTGGGCAGTGACTGGGCCAGACTCTAGGTAAGTGTGAGTCACCACAAGTGCCCGAGAGATCAGGGTCCCAGTATTGTCTCCAAAGTCCCAGGTGTAGGAAAGGTCAGCCCCAGACAAATAGCCACTGGGGTCATGGAGCCGGAGGGCAAAGGTCAGAGGATGATTTCTCAGGAAGTGCTTGTTCCCTCCATCCAAGGCCTGCAGCTGGGACACGCTCACAGAGAAGGGCACCTGGTCTGGGATAGGAGCCAGAAAGGGTGAGAACCAGACCTGGGCCAAGGGAACGTTAGACACCAACTCAACTCAAGCTGACTGGCCCTTCACTGACTCTAAGCCCCACATTCTTCTGCCCAGTTCTTCCTGGCTCTGTGCCTTTAAGATTACACACCATTTCCCCTTTTCCCTCTCCCCTTTCCAGTCAGGCCAACCCTCTCCATATGTTACTGCCCTGTGACTTATTCCTTTGCCCCTTCCCAAATCCTTACCGGTAATGGTGAAGGCTGAGCAGGAGTGAGCAAGGGGCACATAGCTCTGGGACTCCCGGCGGTGGTAGACAGTCACTTCCATGGTATGTGTGCCCAGCATTGCCTTGCCTGTCACAATGCTCAGTCCCGACACTGGGCCCCCCAGAACTTGCCAGTACTGGCCTGAAGTTTTTGAAAAGAAAAGCAGGGGTGGGTGAGGTACTGATCAAAGGGAACTGAGGGGAAGGATTAGAGACATATTAGAGACATATTAGAGACATACATACAGGGCAGTACAGAAGGAAGGTCAAGAGATGTATTGAGTATGGTTATTTCAGAGAGTATTTGGAAGGTTGTCATATGGGGGTCAGGAGAGGAGTCCTAATGAGGGGTTCCATGGGATAGGACAATTTGGGAAGGGTCCCCAGAAACAATATCGTAGAGAGAGTGGGAGTGGGCTACGTGCTATGGAAGAGGAAAGGACCACGGGGGCAATGAAGGCTAGGGAAATTCACAGAGCAAAACAAAAGGGGATCGGGTAGGAAGAGGTGAATCCAAGTGTGGATGACTCACCCCAGGTCTTCCAGACATAAACAAAGCTTCGAGTCTGAGACCAAGGGCCAGATGGGCAGGCCCTTCCATCAGGGAAGATGCAGGTATCATCAGGTACCTGGGGATACACTGGCTGTCCTCCCCACACCTGGGTCCCTGAAAGATTGATACAGAGTCACCCTCAAACCCTGGCATTCCTTTCTATACACCAGAACTCCTCACATGGCTCCCAGAGAGGGGCTGTGGGAATACTCCTTAGCTACAAAGTACATTCCCCTTGGTATAACCCATTTGGGGTGGCAGTGGAAAGGATGGAAACTGGAATTAAAGATTCGTATGTACTTAAAGACAGACATAGGAAGGAAATAGGAAGACCATACATCAAAATGTTTAGAGTGGTTTGGTCTAACTAGTAAGATAAAAACAAAATAAGAGCACCAGCTAACATTTATTGAACCCTGCCTTAGCCTAGGGCAAGTATTATGCTAAATTATTTATATAGGATCACATTTTAATCCTTACAACAACTGTTCAAGTAGATATCATCCCCATTCTACAGATAAGGGAATGGAAGCACAAAACAAGTAACTTGCCCAGGGTTACAAATTATTTACAAATTTAAATATGTCTAAATGTCTGTCTAAATCCTAGGTCCACTAGGTCTTCTGCCTGCAATTTGGCACACTATGTATTTTTTCCTTTTTTTATCTGTGTTTAAAATTTTTTCTACAATGAATATTACAGACTATGTATACAGTTTATTTTTTTTAGAAAAGTAGAAAGGAAGAGGACACTTCTTGAGCTCACTGGGGATGCCAGGGAATGTGAGCCCTTAGAGTAAGGGCCTGGAGCAGAGAGGTACTCACCATTGATGATGGTGTTGTTGGCCCAGATGACCTGCCCATCTGGCAGCACCTTTTGGCTTTCAGGAAAGTGCAGGGCAATAGAGAAGGAGGCATTTGCCCCAACTAGTGTAGGGCCATCATTACTGACCTTCAAGGACACCTGGCCACCTAGGAAGGGCAGCCGCATTAGCTGAGACTCTTTGGTTTTTCCTCCCCTTATACCTTTCCCCTCCCTATTTTCCCATGCTCCATTCAACCCAGTTCTTGCTCCTCTCCCCACCTCATACCCTCCCTAGAAATTGCCAAGTTCCCACCTCTCCAGCAGTCAGGCCCCTGGCTTTCCGTCCACTCTGGATACAGCCGCCTGTTCCAGGCTTTAGTTGTGAGTGGCCTTGAGACACCAAGCCAGTCCTGGTCTCTGGGTCCTAAAAGGAAGGTACCATGAAAGCCCTAGGATCATGCCTCAGTCCTGTGTCAGGGAACAGCGCTGTCCCATGTCACCCTACTCACTCTCACATTCAAAGTGCATCTTAATTTACTGAACACCCACAATGTGCCAGGCACTGTGCTAGGTACAAAAGGACTTAAGAAACAAATAAGAGAGGGGCAGCTGGGTGGCTCAGTCAGTTAAGCATCCGACTTCGGCTCGGGTCATGATCTCGCGGTTCATGAATTCAAGCCCTGTTTGGGGCTCTGTGCTGACACCTCAGAGCCTGGAGCCTGCTTCAGATTCTGTCTCCCTCTCTCTCTGTCTCTCCCCTGCCCACATTCTGTCTCTCTCTCTCAAAAACAAATAAACGTTAAAAAAAAAAAAAAAAAAAAGACATGGCCCTGAAGGGATTCAAGGTAAAGTATAAGAAATAGACATGTCCTAGGGTGCCTGGGTGGCTCAGTCGGTTAAGCGTCCAACTTCGGCTCAGGTCATGATCTCACGGTTCGTGGGTTCGAGCCCTGCATTGGGCTCTGTGCTGATAGCTAGCTCAGAGCCTGGATCCTGTTTTGGATCCTGTTTCGGATTCTGTGTCTCCCTCTCTCTCTGACCCTCCCCTGCTTAGGCTGCCTCTCTCTCTCTTTCTCTCTCAGAAATAAATAAAACATTAAAAAAAGAAGAAATAGACATATCCATAAATTATAATAATTAAAGGCACTGTTTAACATGAGCTGTTATAGATATTCAGAAAGTACAATGAAATGACAGACAAAAGAGATTAGTTCCACTCTGGTGGATTGGGAAAGACAATCGGCTTGATGAGTTGGCCTGTGGGATAGAACACTCTGGGCAGAAGGACCAGCATGAGCAGATGCATGGAGGCATGGCAGCACAAGCATGATAGGGGCATGTGGGTGATGGACACTGAGATGAGGCCAAGAAGACAAGCGGAGGCCCTGAGTGCCAAGCAAAGGAATTGGGCTTTTATTCTGTAGACAAGGCCATGGCAGAAAATTTTGTTTGTTTCATTGACAAATAATTCCTACACCAAAAAATTCACCCTTCAGAAGCTTTTTTAATATGATCAGATCTGTATTTTAGAAGGATCATTATGGCAAGCAATGTAGAGGCTGGATCAGAGGCAGGCAGAGGTTGGGAGCGAGGACCAAGCAGACAAAATTTTTATAACTGACCAAGAGAGGTCTGAGAAAAAGGGATATGAGGGATCTACATATGCCTCTCTCAGGTACAAAAACTATCCTTTATATCTATCCTTTGTTGTTGTTGTTTATTTATTTGTTGACTAAAGTATTTAAAACAAATCCCAGATATCTTCTTGTTATTTTAACCCTACAATTTTAATATATATCTGTAAAAAATGTGAACATTTTCTTGGATAAGTACAATGTCATTTCACACTGGACAAAATTATCAAACCCAATTCATATAAAATTTCATGAATATCTAAAAATATCTTTTGATGACTTAAAAAAATCAATATCTAAAAAGTAAGCACAATCTTTTTAAGAGGCTCAGGTGGACAAGTATGAACAGAATGTTTCCAAAATACATTAAGGAACATAATAAAAGAAAAAGACTTGAAACTACAGCACAAATGAGGGAAGTCAGATGAAGGAGAACCTCCAAGAAGTCTGTGAGACCAGGGATCTAGAGAGAGAAAGGGGAAACTGGGACATGATATCTATATTTTAGCACAGGAAGAACTATCTTTGCTCCATTTCTAATGTGTACTGGAAACCTAGTTGAGTCTGCTTGGGGAGGAGGGATCTGGAATCATCTCATAGAGCATCCCACCACTAGAGCAAGAGAATCATAAGATGTCCCATTCTTTCTTCACTCCCAACCCTCCCTCCTCAGAGCAGCACGGGACATTCCAGACCCTCTCACCACCCCCACCCCCACCCCTTGCTTCTGTCACGAGGCCACAATCCCCCAGAGCCCTTTCATGTGATGCTCAGCTGAGACCCCTCTGCCTGTCTCTTCCAGCCCCAGAACAAAAGCCTGAGCTGTGTTCACCCATCCCCATTTCAAAGAGGGGAGGTGGTACCTCCTTACCTTTTCAATCCTATACCACATTCTCTTACTTCTCACTTCAAATACTCTATCCCAGGTGCCTAGTTATTGCCTCAAAGAGTCTCCCACTCATGTCACTTTTGAAGCCCCTGCTTGGACTCACTGCCCAAGGGACCTCAAGATTAGGGCTACAAAGACTCACTATCCTTGTGCCCTTGCAAGTGGATGAGATTATTCTCAGGCTCAGTCCCAAATCTCCACATAGGGAGGGAGCTCAGATGCCCATGTCCTCACTAAATCAAATGGGTGGAAGAAGCCTGAGATACTGCTGGTATCTCCCATAAGGAGGGGAAAAACCAGAGCAGGTGTGCAACCCCAAATTCACACTTGTTCATGTCAGTGCTCCCCACACTCACCTTCTGTGGCCCCCACAGCCAGAAGAGCACCCATCACAGCCACATGGAGAAGGCATTTTCTCAGCACCAGATTCATCCTGTTCTTCCTTCCAGCAACCAAAGGCGCTGGGGGGCTGGGGCAAGCCCCTATATAGGAGAGGGGTGCTCATTTGCATAGCCCTTCCTCCAAGACATCCAGAGGAGTCTTGGGAGGGGTAGGAGGACGGGAGAAAGGCAGAACTGACAAGGGATCCTGGTCCCTGAACATCCCGCTGCTCATCGATAGTTTCTGGTTTCACTGGGTCACTCTCTTCTTGACTGGGAAAGAACTGACTGAAGGGCAGCTGCATAACATATACCCAACACATAAGATTCATCATAGGAGAGTGAATCAATCTGTTCGTTTGGTTTTTTAACCAAACCAGGAAATCTCTCAAAAAAACAAGAGACCCTGCATCCCAAAAGAGAGAGCTATCGAATAGGCAGAGGGCGGAGGCAACTACATCTCCGGGGCCCAGAAAACCCGTACAATGAGATTCCCAGTTTCCTGCTTTTCAAAGGAGGCTCCCTGGGCCAGGTGGAATTTAATCTTAGGGCGAGACACATTTTCCTACGAGTGGGTGAAACGGCGAATGAGAGATCAGGAAATCCCTACGGATTCAGTAGGACAAATCTCGAGTCCAAATCAGGTACTTGGAAAAAGACATTTTGCTTCCCCACCAAGACAGAAACTTGTTTTAAGTATCCTCGGAAATAAACTTGCGTGAGGTAGGGTCATTTGCCGCAGCTAGGCGCGCTGGGCTCGCCCCCTCCGCTCTGACGTTGACCAATAAGAAAAGGTGGAGGCGGAGCTAGGGAAACGCGGGAAGGAGGGGCGGGGCCTCTGGTGGCGGCAGGGAACTGGAGGGGAGGCGGCAACATTGTTTCAAGTTGGACAAATTGACAAGAGCAAGAAATACACTGCGTTCCATCCCGACCTGGGGCCGCGGAGCTGGGCCCGGTTTTCCCCTCCTCCACCCCCCGAGAGCCGGGGCCCGCCTTTTGCAGGGTTCCCAGGCCCTAGCTCCAGGGCCGGGCTGACCCGACTCGCTAGCGCTTCATGGAGAACTTCCAAAAAGTGGAAAAGATCGGAGAGGGCACGTACGGAGTTGTGTACAAAGCCAAAAACAAGGTGACGGGAGAAGTGGTGGCGCTTAAAAAAATCCGCCTGGACACGTGAGTGGCCTCTGTACCCGGGACCCCTAACTCGGGAGCTCCTGGAGTGCCCCCCTGCCCCCACCCCAACAGGCGGGTAGCCGTCCAAGGACCGGAAGGTAGCAGGGAGGGACTTCTTTTGAAGTGGAGAGGTGGGCTGGAGGACAGCGAAGGGCTTCCCGGTGGAGAGTGTAGGGCACTTAGAATCTATGGGAAACTTTCTCCCTAAAGTCGAGGGATGCCCCCAAATGTGCAGTCAGAACGACTCAGGAAGAGGAAGGTCTCCTCTGAGATGGGGTCCAGGACTCATCGTGGAATTGGGTCTTGTGGGAACCAGTGTAGAGCACCTTTCTGAATGAAGAGTCCTCCTCACTGCCCCAACCCCACCCTCATCTTAGAATTCTCTACCTCTTTCAAAAGAATGGCAGTTGAACCTCACTGGCCCCTCTAGGGAGGCTGGGTGCTGCTACTCCTATCTTTTCCATTTCCTTCTCTCTTCTTTACCTACATCAGGAGGCTTTACTTACCTACCCTTGGGAAAAGAAGAATAATGACCTTAATATATCCCCAAACCACTCCTTGTCCCCCGGTGGATTAACTCCTATAGCACCCTTTCTCTTCTCTCACTTTCCTAGGGGATGCTGGGGTGGTGTCTCAGTGGGAAGAAAAGAATGACTGGGCTGGGGGAATTTGTAACCACATTCCTATCTCTGCTTTCTCCATCTCTTCAAGTGAGACAGAGGGTGTACCCAGTACTGCTATACGAGAGATTTCTCTGCTTAAGGAGCTTAACCACCCTAACATTGTCAAGTAAGTATCTGGGAGGTGTTCTGACAATAGAGGAGGTGTTCTTGTCTGTGTAGCCTGGGTATTCTTCTTACTCACCTCTATTCCTGTACCTCCCTTCCCTAGGCTGCTGGATGTCATCCACACAGAGAACAAACTCTACCTGGTTTTTGAGTTTCTGCACCAGGATCTGAAGAAATTCATGGATGCCTCTGCTTTGACTGGCATTCCTCTTCCTCTCATCAAGGTAACTCTTCTTATCAACTCCTCCCCAACATGGGCATGTTTTTGGGGGACTAAAGGCAGGCAATTCAGACTGAGTGATTATTTGTGATCTTGGCTTCCTTCCCAGACCTCATCCCCCTGCACGCACGCGCGCGCGCACACACACACACACACACACACACACCTTTCTTTTGTGGCTCTCTCACTGCTCATTATGCTTATTAACCCTAGGGCTGGGCAGAGAATCAAAGAAGTTGAAACTCTAGTGAGTCAACTTCATAGCTCAGGTGGAAGGTCAGATGAAACTCAGATAAATGGGACTTGAGGGCACTTGGTAGGTTCCTCCAAGAAGCCCTTCCACCTCTTTGGTAGGAGAAATAGCCAGTGAGTTTCTGTTGTCTGTTTTAGGGCTGAGTTCTTTACTCCCTGAGCTACCTTCAATCTATCAACATTTATTCAGTTTATTGAATACCTTCAATATGCTAGGCACAGGATATGGAAAAGAGATGCAAAACCGAATAAGACCTGGTCCTTGTCTTCACTAGACTGATAGTCCAATGGGAGATACAGTTTATAAGCATGTAATTATAATCTAACATAGTAAAAGCCTTTGGTAAAAGTTTGCAGGCACAGAGCAGACCCTAAGCTCACTGTGGTAGAGAAACAAAGTCCTCTCTCTCTCTTTTGTCAGAGCTATCTGTTCCAGCTGCTCCAGGGCCTAGCCTTCTGCCATTCTCATCGGGTTCTGCACCGAGACCTCAAACCTCAGAATCTGCTTATCAACGCAGAGGGGGCCATCAAACTAGCGGACTTTGGATTAGCCAGAGCCTTTGGTGTCCCTGTTCGTACTTACACCCATGAGGTGAGACCCTCTTTGCATTTCTTCTCTGAACTTTCTGGGAGGTTTTGACAAGAACATTCACAAAATTATTAAACATCTCTGGTCAGCAGTTTCTCTCTCATTACATGGAAAGTATCTCTGGCACTCCAGGAGGTTTTAGAGTATGCACCAAGTTCTGATTGTGGGGCTAACTGGGCTTTGATAGATGCCAAGCCAGGAGAACTGGTTGGCCCTATGAGCACTTTTCTCAAGTTTTCCAGGAAGGTTGCAAATTATGGGTTCAGAAAATATGGTTCCCAGAGCCTAGCTCTGGTCTCATAAGTTGTATGTAGACATTTATACTTTGGGGAAGTCAGAAAGATGGGAAAGATGGAGGGAAAGGAGCTGCTTGTCTTCAGGCTGAGAGTTAGCAGAGTAACACTGAAGAGCTGAGACGTGGGAATCACCGTGCCCCATGCACCGCCCTTCCCCTTCCTGCTCTTATCCCCAGGTGGTGACCCTGTGGTACCGAGCACCTGAAATCCTTCTGGGCTGCAAGTACTACTCCACAGCTGTAGATATCTGGAGCCTGGGCTGCATCTTTGCTGAGATGGTACGGAGGCAAGCCCGAGTTCCACCCAGCTCACTCCCCCACATTCAAGAACAATAGAACGGTTTCTTGGCCGAGACTCATGGCCCTTCTATATTATCACAGGGTTTCTTCTCTAGAGTAGCACCAAGGCAAGTAGGGGGAAAGACTAGGACTGTTGTCCCTGATGTCAACCACAATGTTAGTATATCCTCAGACAGCCTTATCATGCAATACACATCTCTTATCCCTGAATTGAGCAAAATCATTTCTGCAGCTGTTTTAGCTTTAGTCTGCATATACTTGGGAGAATGAGTACCGATTTAGTGCCGCCTTCATTTGGTCTTTAGACCTTGTAGGGTTCCAGGTTAATGGGTGAAGCCAGCTTATGTTCACCTTATCCATACCTTTTATTTAAACTGCAGACTTAAGTCATCCTCCCCACCCCCCCAAACCTCTGGCTTTTCAGTTTGTAAGATCCCTGAGGCCCAGCCTTTTCTGGGAGCTCTCATTTCCTTTAATATAATAGTGGAGTGGGCTGAGTTTTCAAATCAAATCAGCAATTTGTTTTATGGTCCTTTATCTGGGTTGTGACTGGGGGCTTGGAGACCATTAGCCTATATATAAAATGTGCATTTATCCCCAGTACATTACCTTACAATTGCCCATATTCCTCTCTCAATTCATCAAAAAATATTTGTTAAGCACCTAGTGTGTACCCAGCACGATGCTAGGTGCTGTGGGGAACACAGAAGAAATGGAAGACACAGTCTCTGCCCGCTGTGCTCCTATCTAGAAGTGGCTGCATCACAAGGAGGGGGGATGACCGCAGTGTCTACCCCACACCCCGTGAGTGGCTTGGGATCCCTTTGCTACATGTCAGTGGCACCCCAGACATTCACCCCCTCCCAGCCCCACCCAGCCTTGGGGATCTGCAAAGGCATGGTTGGGGGAAGGAAGGAGGGGGCGAGGAGACAGATGAAGGGACTTCATTGTCTCAGGCTCTGTGTGACTGACCCCATGAAAAGCCCTGGGGAGGGAGTCATGGGGCCCTGCTGACCTTCCACTGCCTGTGGGAACCTTCGTTGCACAGGGAGCGGCTTTGACTGACATCAGTGTGGGTCTTGGCCTTTTTTCTTCCCCCATTTTCAGGTGACCCGCCGAGCCCTATTTCCTGGAGATTCCGAAATTGACCAACTTTTCCGGATCTTCCGGACTCTGGGGACCCCAGATGAAGTGGTTTGGCCAGGAGTTACGTCTATGCCTGATTATAAGCCGAGTTTCCCCAAGTGGGCCCGGCAAGATTTTAGCAAAGTTGTTCCTCCCTTGGATGAAGATGGACGGAGCTTGCTATCGGTGAGAACTGGGGGTGGGCACCCATTTCCTCTCATTTACTCCCCCAGGGCAGGTTTTCTCCAGGATGTAGGAAGGATGAGACCCTAGACTCTGGGTCTTGGCATTTCCCTAGCCCCTGCTTCTCTCTCCCTGTTGGCACACCCATTCAGATGTAGGGAGGAGGGAATTGGGAACTCTGCCTTGGGTAAAAGTACTTCTGGTTTCCTGAGTTCTCGGAACATCTGCTGCCCATTTAGTCCAATGTCACATCACTGAAGTCAGCATACATCTCTCCCTCCAGCAAATGCTGCACTACGACCCCAACAAGCGGATTTCGGCAAAGGCAGCTCTGGCTCACCCTTTCTTCCAGGATGTGACCAAGCCAGTGCCCCACCTTCGACTCTGATGTCCTACCCCAGTCTCACCCTCTCCTCCAGCGAGAGCCTAATCTGTCTTGGCCCTGGGCTATTTGTCCTCTGATCTTGTCTGGCTGCCTTAACACCTCCGCCTCTTAGCCAGCCAACTCTGAGGATATAAGGGGTGGAGGAGAGAAACAGGTGAAATGAAAGGAAGCTTCAGTATTAGATGCACTTAAGTCCCTCCACCACCCTCTCCCCCTCTTCTTGGTTATTACTGAGGAGGGCTGGTATTTAAAAAAGAAAGAAAAAGACTGCCCCCACATAGGGTTTGCCATCCCAATCTCTGAAAGCCCTGAAATTATTATTTCCTGTGTTCGGGATGACAGACACCCCAAGCCTCCCTCGGCCACTGCGTTTGTAAGGCCAACTGATAGCAAAGATCCTAAGTTGGAACTTTGGAAAACCAAGCAAAACAAAAACATAGGGAGGGGCCCGTTTTAAAGAATTAGGTTAAAAAAATAGATCCAACCAGTTTATACCCTAATTTTAGTGTTTCATCTCACCTAACAGTCTGGGAGACGCAAGACTCCCAGTCTCTGCAGTCTTGATGGGACTGTAATAGAAACAATTGCCCCTAGTCCCTCTATCTGTCCCTCCTGTGGGCAAGAGGTGTCTGGGAGGCTCTAGGACAGGGATTGTACTTCACCGTGGCCTTATGAGGCAAATAAAAGTTGTCTGAATTTTTCTTTTCCTTTTAAGATTCTTAGTTCTTCATATGCCAGGTCCCATCTTCCTCTGAAGGCCACCCCATAAGAGTGGAAGTTAGGGTTTGGACATCATTTTGAAAATGCTGACACTTTTTTAGGGCTGTGAATGAGTGAGGGCATTGGGAAATTTTTTTTCTTTAAAAGAAGGACGAACAATTATATTTATATTTCAGGTTATAGTAGTTGTTTAAGTGGGAATGGGTGGATTTGTTGCCATGTGCACCTTGGGGTTTTGTAATGCGAATGTTTAAAAAAAAAGAGTATTTTTTTCTTTTTATGATGTTTGTCTCCCTTCTCCCACCTCTGGTCTTCGAGTGTTCTCGTTATTAACATTATTTGTAATTTAGTTTGTAATTCATTAAAAACAAAAGTTCCTAGTTTTATTTTTTCATCTCTTTCCTCCTTTACTTATGTGTATTTATTTACACAAAGAATGATGTATGAGAGAGAATATGAATGTGTATATGTGAGAGTTGGTTTCATGGCTCCCCTTTTCCTAATCTTTCTGTTTAGGGCTACCCACCTCACCCCATCACCCCAGTCTGGCCTCTATTATGCAATTGGTATAGTGCCCAAGGTGGGCAAAATGGGAATTACTGCTCCCATTTTTACGGCTGGGTTAACAGAAGCCTACTTCATTTTCCCCACGAACCTGAATTATCCCCTGCACACAGACACACATACCACACACATAAACATACAAGGCGGCAGTTCCAGGATTTCAGAGATTTAGGAGGGACTCAGGAATAGCAATGTGGTTGGAAGTGGGCTCCATGGGAATTCGTCTTGACACTGCATTTCCCAAAAAGCTCGTCGTTTTTTCTTTTTGTTGCGTATCACAAACAGCTTTCTAAAGATACTTTAATCACATTTACATACATCTCAGAATATATAACTTGTCTGTAGGAAAAAAGTATTAAGAAGGGGGCTAAAGTCTCCCCAAGCTACCACTTCTTGGAGTTGCCACGGTCTCAATCCCACCAAAATACATCTCAGACCGCCGGCACGAGCCACCCGCAAAATTCCTGTCTTCTGGGGCCCCACAAAAAGGAGGACGCACCGACGTGAGGTCGGCTTTAATTCCCAGGCTCCAGTCCTTAGGTGAGATACCTCTCTTTACGCCGCCAATTTGTCATAGAGGGCGGGGCGCCAGAGTCAGCCCCCGCCAAATTCGGGGGGAGGGGCGAAGGTCAGTAGCGGCCTTCCTAAGGCTACTTTCAACCCGCCTTGCCTGCCATTCAAGTTCCGAATTTTCCCAGTACTGGTTAAAACTTCACTTGGACCCGCCTCCGTCACTCACCTGATTAGATGTTTATGAGTCAAAAGGCGGGGTCATGAGGGTGTCGGATGTTATTGGTTGGTATGTACGCCTGTCAGCAGTGCACCGCCCCCTGTCTCAGAAAGCTCGCTCTTTAATGGCTCCTCACCTCGTCCATCTTCAAGGTTTCCCTCTCTGTATTGGTCCGGAGCTCCGCGGTCCAGTCCCTCGTTCATACTCGTTGGTGACAGCGCCGGAAGAGGTCCGCCTTTCTCCAGAGGATTGGAGGATTAGTGCACACATCGCCCACCCTTGGCGGTAGGCGGGTAATCGTGCTATTGGCTGGGGCCCCCGCCCCAGGGCGAGGAGGAGGAGGAGGAGGGGCAGGAGGGTTTGGTTGAGCTGCAGCTGTTTGTCTGTTCGACACAGGCTTGGGCCCGACGGGGGAGACGGAGCCCCAGGTACCGGGCTGATGGAGCCCATAAGGGCAGGGGCGGAGGCGCCCAGGAGAGGAGAGCGGCCTGGCCTAAGAGCAGAGGCGGGTCTGGGCCTCAGCGAGGGGTCAGAGTGGCCCACTGGAGAGGGGAGCAGGGGCCGGGCCCCGGCAGGCCTAATGGGGGCGCTGAGGAGGGGGCCGGGCGGGCTGGGAGCCCGAAGTTGGTGAGGCCGGGAGGCGGCCGGGTTGTGTTGGCGGCCTGCGGGGCGGAGGGCCGGCGCGGGAGGCCCGGGGCGGTGTGAGGGCAGGGGCAGGCCTCATTGAGCAGCTCTGAAGAGGGAGGAGCTGGGGGAAAGGGACGGGGCAACGGGTGAGGTAAGCCCTTATGCCGGGAGGTGAGGAGGGGTCAAACCAGACACCCGGGCCACGAGGGTAACCGGGGCTGGGGCTCTCGAGCTGTCTACCTGGAAGGACCTGAGAGGGCATCTTAGTTGGGTAAGGGGCATTCTCTTAGGGAAAGTGACTCTTATGAATAACTGGGGTGCCCCTGAGTTGAGCTGGAGAGGGACTTGGGTTCATGGAGGGAGTACCGAGGCAAAGGAGGAAAGCTTTACTAATCTAGAAGACTAGTTAGTTGGAGAAGTGGAAGCCGGGCCTGGTGTCAGTTATGGGAGCTTCTGGGAATGCTCAAGGGTGGACTGGAGGATCTGGGTCTTGAAAGGACCCACTCTTTTGTTCCTCGTCGTGTTGAGTTGTGGTGACTCGAAGTGTTTTTGGTACTCCCGGGGTAGCTAATGAAGGCAAAAGTTAAAAGAAAAAAAAAGGAAAGAAAGGAAGAAAAAGAATTGTGACTGTTGGCTGTCCCAAACTCGGCCCCTACACTTTTCCTTGACTTCAGCTGCTTTAGGGTGCAGTGCTGTCTAAGAGCTAAGAAGTTGGATTTGCGAGGTGTTTGTTTCTCACTTAATAATGTGGTCTATGGTGGTTACAGTATCTCTGACCTAGAAGCAGGGGATCAGCCATTGTATTATCCGCACTGGAAAGGGGCTTAGAGATCCCCAGCCACCAGATCTTCTGGCCATACTTGTGAAACTTTTATGGGACTTAAACTTGGGTATTTCCCAGGCAGGCAATGGTTAGGTGGAACCAAGCCTAAAAATATGAGGTGATATCACTGAGGAAGGGATTTGAGGAAGAGTGAGAAATTCCATTCCAGAAGGTTGGCATCACCCCTGTTCTTTGTCTCCTTCTTCAGGAGCCCAGGTAAAAGTTGGGTCAAACAGTGAGGCATTTGAGGAAGGGGGTGAGTAGAGAAAAAGAAGATAGATTACTAAGGCACAGGAATTGCCATCCCGCTCACCCTTAATTTTTAATGGTGTGCTGATCTCCTTAGTCCCCCATAGATTGGAGTTTATTGAATTTTCCCTTATACTTCCTCCTTTTACCCTGTTATACAAATGCTTTATATTTCTTCTTAATTACACAAGTATATGTACATATTTTTAAATATTTAGGCTGTACAACAGTATAAGAAGTGTAAATCTTCCCACACGTACCTCACTCATTTTATCCAGAAAGGTCAGAGATCAGAGACAGCAGATCTGGCTAATCTTGCTTTGGTGGATGTGCCACCAAAGGCAGTTCTGTCTTCATGTTCCCACCAACTGCGGTCTCTCATTCTTTCCAGTTTTCCCTTATGATACTCTCTTATTTATTGTACTCCTACAGATCATTTTGTCTTCTGTCCAATTCAGACAAACAGAGAACTATACTCTGGGTTACCCTCACATTCTTAAAACACACAGAGCACACACACACTCGCATCCCCCAGTTGTGCATTAGGCATCCTAGGAAATGCCCAAATAGATGGCCAATACTTTTTTTATGGATAGGAAAGAAGCATTAAGGTAAATCTTTTTGTTTGGGAGAATTATTGGCATCTTTGGTAAACTGAGGAATTTGAGACCTCTGTCTTCTGGTTCATGGTCTCTGCATGTTCAGACTCTATGAATATCTTTTCATTAACCCAAAAGAAGACGATGGCTCCTATATCTGTTTGTCTGTAGTGATATGAGAAGCTCTCAAGTTTCTCTGGATTTGAAATTGGTTTTCCTCTAAACCTCAGTACAGCTGGGACACTTCATACTACCATCTTATTAACTGAATTTGTTCTTACTGGCTCTAGAAGCCCTCTCATGTGCCCAGCCTTTGTACAATGCCCGGAGAAACTTCAATTATGTACCCCCAGGAGTTTTTCGTTTCCTTCTGCAAAGCCAGTCCTAGAGAAAACTGTGTGGATATGTATCTGTGTGTGTGTGTGCTTTAATTCTCTACAGGCTTTGCCATTTTCTACATCCTGGTGGCATCCTGTCCCTTTCTTCTAGACTTTTTTTTTTGTCTTTTAATCCAAGTCTACCCTCAAGAAGTAATCTGACACAGATCTAGGGTTATAACAAAATATTTGGAGAAGGGGGCTTTTCCATTGCCCTTCAAGTCATACTTCGTATCTTCTAACTCTTACTTTGCCCAGGAGCAAAGATTGCTTTTCTGTAGTTTGCTTGTTTGTATGCATTGATATGAATTTGACTTCTGAGGAGGTACGGGGTAGGAGAGGCAAGTGTATAGGCTGCTCCCTAATCCTAAAGCGTTTAAAATTGGAAAGTAACCAAAGTGTGAGACAGTGAACTCAAAATAAGGAAATGCAACAGCCCTCTAGGAGGAAGGATACCTTAAAACCCTGCACAATACATTCCCACTTCCCAAGAGTGTTTTAGGAAAGAGTTAGTCATTGAACAGCAACTGAGCTTAGTATGGAGCCAACCAGGTAAGTAAAGTGTATGCAGATTTCTGGGCCAGGCTGTGGCTTTGGTTTAGGGGCAGTGGGTGTGTTTTCAGAATGCCCTCTAGCTCTGGTGGTGTGATGGTGTTGTTTTGTTTTTTGTTTATTTAACTTGTGTTTCTCAAGTTCCAGAATTAATAGAGATAATGATCCAAAGTTTTTTGAACACTTCACATAAACTGAAAACTCAGGGAACTTGTTTTAAGCCACAGTTGCTTCAGTGTTAGGGTGGAAGGGCCACATATTGGGTGTGATTAGGCCATCTGAGCATAGTAACGGGTGACAGGAAAAGCAGTTAGCCCATGTGAGTTGCAACAGTACTTTGTGGGCTGGGTCTCAAGGGGGCCCTCTATCCAAGTGAGATCACAAAGAGAGCAGGGAGAGAACTGGTATTCTGAGGACTATTAAAAACATTCCCAAATGGAACTAAGAAGCTATCCAGAAGGCACAAAAGGGGGGAAATAAATGAAAGAGGAAAGCAGGACTGCTTTGGCCTTAATTAATTTAGAGAGCATTTAATGAACACCTACTAGGGACCAGGCATTGTGCTGGAGAGTCAAGATGACATAAAAAAAAAAAAGAGTAACACTTTTTGAGGGATTGATAGTTCAGCGGAACAAACGCACCCAATTAACTCCTATAATGTAATAAATGCTGTGATAGAAATACCATTGTAATAGTAGGGGACCCTAGACAAAACTGAATGAATTCTGCTGGGTGAGAAGGTGTTTCACAGAGGTGACTTTTGAGCTTGGCCTTAAAGATAAATTAGGAGTTTACTAGGCGCACAAAGTGGGGAAGGACATTCCAAATCTTTCCTAGGTCAATAGAGTTTGTACTACCATACTGATAAGAGATAAGTATGTTTTTACCTATTGGGGAAATAGAAGGGAGAGAGTGGGGGGAAGTGGAAGGACTCTCATTTAAGACAGTGACTCATTAATTAACATTGGGTCAACACAATGAAAGAGCTGAGCCAAATATTAGAACTCTCAGTTCAAGATTTTAGTAATTTTGGGTCTAAACAAAGCTGAGAATTGAAAGTGTTTACTTCAGTAGTGCTTTTGCCCTATTTCCCTAATCAGTAAATCTCTTACATTAGTCCCCAGGGCACAGACCCCTGTAGAAGTTACCACTCTTTCCCTATCACCTTCCATTAAATTATTTCTGTTTCAGTCATCCTGACAGGATTGGTCAAGACCTTCTAGAGAAGCATAGTAATGAATGAGTTATTCTGGTTAGAAGAATATAGAACTGGATTCTAGTTCTCAGGGAAGGCCTCTCGGCCTGTCTACCTTGTTTTTAGTCCCAAAGGAAGTACTTATCTAAACTGAATAGAGGCAGAATCTATCCAATCTAAGCTCTTGCTCCAGTCCTAGTGCCGTCTTCAGAGTTCAATTCAGAGTTAGCACCTCCTGCTTCCTTAAGAGGTATAGTGGTATACTACTAGCAAGAGTACATGACTAGGAGTACTTGCTAAAAGGAGATTTAGCTGCCTGTATGACAACATCTGGCAAGTTAATATTATTTGTGACAGCTGTCTGTGTGGTAATACCTGGCAAGTTGATTAATATTATGTGCCTCACTTTCCTTACCTATAAAACACAGAGACTGGACTAGACCTGTAGACTGCCTCTTACCTGGCAAACTGATCTTATGGGGCTGACATTTGAGTGTGGGCTGGACTCCAGTGGCAATGTATCTAGAAGTTAGCCTCTACTAATAGGTAATACACTTCTAGAGGCTTCATAATGTGGTTGGCAAAGAGACTCAAAGGTACCAAGTGGAAGGGGGCCTGAAGAATAGAGTCTTGCTCTGCTGGAATCAGCAAGCTAAGAAATCCTTCCTATGCATACTTTCCTGAGCTTCTGAGGGAGCTGCCCAAACTAATGAACTGGCCCCTTCATCCTCCACCTTGCCTCTTCCCAGTAGGCTGATGCCATTGTCAAACCTCAATCCTCTCTAGTTAGTGGTCATTTGATAAACTATTTTTGTGGAGCTGCACTTAAATCTGATTTTTTTCTCTCCCAGACTGAAAGGATTGAAGGGAAGAATAACTTCCTTGTCCTCCCTTCTTTTTTTTGTTTTGTTTTGTTTTGTTTTGTTTTGTTTTGCCTCAGGTTTGGAGGTAATCATCACACCACTTGGCTGGGTGGTAGTGGTTTATGTTTTATCTTTGAATGGAT